TAAAAAAGTGGAATGTGTAGCATTAGTTCCTTGCCATTTGTCTCATATTTAAGTAGTTTTTTCTCTAAGCGCCACATGAGTACTGATTTGCTATTCCATTTGCAGATAGCAGTATAGAGAGGGCATGCAGATTTTATTTTATTTGCAGTCTACTACTCCCTCCATTCCAAAATAACTGTCTCAAGCTTAGTACAACTTTGTACTAGAGTTAGTATAAAGCTAAGACACTTATTTTGGACGGACGGAGTACATAAGAATAGATACTTGGCAATGGCTACTAACAATGCAAAAGATGCAAATAAGGAAAGAAAGAATTGCTGTAGAGTACCTTCAAAAGCAATTTCACAAGCAGCGTCATCTCGCAGAGATGCACCTGGAGACAGAGAGAAGATTGCCAGTACGTTAATTAAAGAAAAGATGGGTATAATGGTCTCTTCAAACATGAGCTTTTAGAACAACCCATATCTGGTTACTATATACAAACCTTCTAGCGATTCATCTATACCAACTTCCAAAGGGTCAGCTACTGTCTGTGTCACACCTGAGAAAAGAAAGGAGAGTAGATCTTTATATTGAAAAGTTTGAACTAATAGTAAGAAGTACAGGCTTAAGCAATGAAACTTATTGTGAGGTAGAAAAGTAGAGGTGACAAATAGAACATATACATGGAATGGAACCCTAAGGGAGAAAACATGGTCAAAATAAACTCAACTCCAAAAATATGAATAAACTCATGACATGCACCTCCAAAAAAAACTCCAGATTATAACGGTGCAATTCTGAATACAAACAAATTTACACTCAAAACTTTAAAGATTGCACACTAGGTATCTAACCTAAAAAAGAAAAGCATAAGCAAACATGAAACTGGGAAGAAATATGAACCATAATTTATGTTGGATCCAGATTATACATTGTAGTAATATTGCAACACTACAGAAATAGTCAAGTACTTTCCGGTGAGAAAATCTAGTATTTGTTATGAAAATATACAAGGCATCTAAACAAAACAAAAAGAGGAAAGACCCAGTGCTAGAAGGTCCCACACCAGGTGGGATCTGGGAAAGGATTATACAAGGCATGCCCTCACCCTGCACAGTGAAATGCAGAAGGGCTGCGTCGAACCCGGGACCTCTTGGCACAAGTGGGGAGTACTTCACCGCTGCGCCAGGTCGGTCTTTAAAAAAAGCATCAGCAAACACAAAAATTTAAAGCAATCTGGCGACAAATTTGTTCATGCAATACCTATCCGCTTAAAATTAGGACCCACTGCTTTATTTTAATATACCTATATATGCACAACCCGGTGTTTCATACGGAGCATGTGATCTGAGTCATTGGTGGTAATATGGTGAGAATACAAGCTGCAAAGGCATGCCTTCACCCTACACAGTGCAATGCAGAAGGGCTGCGTCGAACCTGGGACCTCTTGGCACAAGTGGGGCGTACTTCACCACTGCGCCAGGTCGGTCTTTAAAAAAAGCATCAGCAAACACAATTTTAACGCAATCTGGCGACAAATTTGTTCACGCAATACCTATTCGCTTAAAATTAGGACCCACTGCTTTATTTTCATATACCTATATATGCACGACCCAGTGTTTAATACGGAGCATGTGATCTGAGTCATTGGTGGTAATATGGTGAGAATACAAGCTGCAAAAAATCGATGGCATATTATGCCAATTCCACCCAAACCTATCTATCTAATAGCAGGTTATACCATCGCTTAAGTTGAACTTGCTAGAATATCATCAAGGTTTGACTAGTTGCTCCAGTCAAATTGCAGCAGAAATTGCGAGCTGGGGTTATAGTACAGTTTGTTTCCTTATTTAACGAAGCTTGAGAATCTATGAAAATCAGACCATGCTTTAGTTTGATCACCTGGATGTAGCTAAGGTACTGATTGAGCAAATGATTTAGGCTTCAACGGCTAAATTTTGATGAACCGAGATTGCATCGGGTTAGTTGCTAAATATTGCTCGACCTAACCATATAGGCCTCACCAGCTAAAGTGGTGCTTGATCAAACAGTTTAGGCCTTATTGCCACTTGCACGCATTGGTGCAGTATTGCTCAAACTATCCACAGTTGTCGTGTCAGGAATTCAGTAACCACGTGTACATACTACCAATGTGTGTTGGCCACTCCTCCATGCGCTAGTTTCAAGTGCAGGTGTTCCAGAAGTTTTACAGGGAGCGCCTCCTAATGCAGATGCCTCCTAGTGCAGATGCAACTAACGGACTGGTTTCAATGGGCTACTGGACGATGGAGGTGGCTGAAAACTTATCTCCGCTTTCTTCTAGGACTACAACTGTCTCTTGATAGCACTCACGGTGCATCGATAATTGGTGTTAAATGGAGTTGTTTCAGAAGGTAACATTCATGTTTTAAATACAGAAGATAAGCTTTATAACATTTAGGCATGCAATTGAAGAGGTCAGTCTATTACTATCTATGTCAAAAATTGGTGGGCGTCGCAGGAGTTTGGCTTCTCGCTGACATTGGCAGTTAAATGGTTTTCGGTGTTCATGCAGGGATGGCCTATACCTAGGCATGTACATGTACATGAACCTTGCTGTTTTGGCATTTTTTATCAATGCATCGAGACATCAATCTTTGATGTTCTCTAGAAATAGGGGAAAAAAAACTTGGGCGCAAAAAGGAAGTGGCCAATATAAATGTAATGTTCAATCAATTGACTCCACAATGTTTGGTAAAACAGGTCACAAAGTAAATATTTATAGTTTATACAACAAAAGTTAAAAAAATCCAAAATGTTTTCTTTTTTCAAATGAGCATAACTTCTGAAACACAAGACCTGTGTTGACTCATACTTCTAACACACAGGCACATGTTCTGCATCCACCATGTAACAAAATAGGTGACGGCTCCTTTTACATAAAAAGGATTAGTATTCAAAAGGATCATAAAAGAACTGATGTAAGGCGTCTTCATGAGGATCTCTGAAACACCTCTGCACAGGTATGTTACTTGACAGTTGGACCTAAATAAGATGCAGTTTAATGACCACGACTATAAATATAGTGAAAGGAGAAACAACAGTTCAGGAATAATTTAAAACACGACCAAATTCAATGGTACTCCAGATCAACTAATAGATGAGTCATCCAAGATAAATTACATTACTGCATTTTAGTTCTGGATGATGTGGAAATGTGGATGTGAACAGCCTACATTTTAGAGGAGTTGATGTTTGGCATTCCCTTGTAGTCATATTATGTTATGTCAACTGAATGTTTACAGCGGGTTTTCATAGTCTGATGTCTACTCTTATACATCGTACCAACCCTAAGCATACATACTATATGCATTCACAGCCACATGCATAAATTCAGATACTTAGGCGGTATTAGTCATATTCACTCAAAATTCTTTCACCTCCACACTATATTTCATGTACTTGCCTGCTTGTAAATACCAAATCACAATCTTCCCTGACAAACAATTCCTATATAATAAATAATCAAACTTCTACGAGGGAAAATACAACCAAATGCTGAACTTAGAAAAAATGATATGGAAAACTTATGCTGCAACTTCACACAAGAATTGTGCAGTGACAAAATCAGCAAAGAAATAACTTCTGTAATGTTGGTTTCCATAATGGGAACCAATGGGGAGATATTGGATGGAGCATGTAATGTTTTGAACATATTTGGCAGCATTACGAATATACAGCTTATAGAATGAAAGATAAAAAAATATTTATATAATTAAGAACAGAAATTTCAAGCGTTTGTACCTCGATTCCCTTGAAAAGGGTTCCTTGCTGCTGAATCAATCTCAGTTTCTTCATACTTTTCTTCTGCATCTGGAATAACTTCGGGGATCGCCTCAAGACGTCGCTGTCTTTCGTCTGCTTTGAACATATTTGGCAGCATTATGAATATAAAGCTTTCAGAATGAAAGAGAAAAAAAACTACTCCCTCCGTTCAGAATTACTCGTCCAAGAAATGAATGTATTTAGATGTATTTTAGTTGTAGATACATCCATTTTTGTGACAAGTAATTCCGAATGGAGGGAGTATTATATAATTACATGTGTACCTCGATTCCCTTGAAAAGGAATGCTCGCTGCTGATTCAATCCCAATTTCTTTACTCTCCTCTTCAGCATCTGGAATAACTTCTGGGATCGCCTCAAGACGGCGCTGTCTTTCGTCTGGTGTGCTTAGAAGCACTTTTTTACAACTTAGGTCATGGATAGTAAGAATCAGTCAAGGAAAAAAGAACCGCACAAAGTTTCTTTCCTGTGCATTAAGTCATAGGCTGGCAATACGCGATAGTAAAATAATATGAAAATATATACAAAACTATGATCACAAGTATGGCAAGTTACTGCTGCATGATCATTACAGTCAATCTGGAAAGGATATTCCTGGCGCCACCCCTTCTCACGCGCTCGTTCCAACTCCATTTCCAATTTTCGAAGCTCCTTATCAAACCACTAAAGGAAAAAAGGCAGCTTCACCAATTATTGCGTAGAAACATATGGATATTGAGAAAGAAACTATATATATATTAGTAGGGAGCACTAGTATTCAGTTTGATGAGAACCCAGATTTTTTCTTTCAAGCTCCATATGGTATCTATATAACAAACATAAGCAATTTAGCATGCAATGAAGGTAGCATTCTACTAAAAACAAATAAAAAGTTTCCTTTTGAAGAATGTTTGGGAAAATCTAATAACCCCATGAGTAAGCCATTAAATCCAGCCAACTTAGGAAAAATGATATCCAACCTCCTAGCTAGAGGTCATTCCAGCGCCAAACCTAAAGCCTGATCTTAAAAGGTCATGTCCACACTAGAAACATTGGTTGATATTCAGGGAAAATATTGCATTCATATTCTTCTTAATATAATATCGGTTGTCAAAAAAACAGTCCAGACCGACTCAGCTGAGCATGAACAAGTCTACCCTAAACTTATAGAAGACTTCAAAATATCAAACTAAAGACAAAGGCAAAACAACTACTGATAAATATATACAAGTTCTAACACAGGCCAAGGTTGAAAGCATGATACTCCTTTATGCAGTTAAGAGTTAAGACTTAAAAGAGTACATAAGAATCTTTTGCTGAGTCATGCACTATCTCACTCAAAAAGATTTATAATCAGCTGGCCTCTTTCTATATTGCTTTAGATAACCAATTAGTTATAATTGTTTCCCATTTATATATATTTTCATTCAATATTTACCACAATAAAGTTCCAAATTGAAGTGATCAGAGTGCACTTACATGATTTACAATGTCTGCATGTACAGTTGCCTCTTTTTCCTCTAACTCAGCCTGTCAAAAAGCACAAACCTGAGCACTAAGAGAAACACACAAATGTTTTAAAAGGCTTAAGTAAAACAAGAGACTGAATGAAACTAAAAAGGGATAAAGAACAAGCCCTTCAAACATTTTCAATATATTAGAAACTACAAAGCACAAAATTAACAAGCTGGCTTGTACGGCAACAAAATATTTGCTGTCTGATCCCATGTGCACTTTCTACATTACCCCCTCCAATCAAAGAGTGATACCTTGGGACATGTGGAGTCTAAATTTTGGCCAATAATGTAGTTGTGAATATTAAAAATATTTAGATTGATTTCATTTCAGGAAAATCGTATGGGCAGATCTATCTCAAAATACTTCATAATTTATATTTTAATCTTCTACAATTGTTACAGTAGAAGCTGGTAACCCAAACTGCATTTGGAGACCTTACCGCCTAGAATGACATTTCTTTTATGACCAAAGGGTGTAGACTAAATACATCAATTATTAGGTATTAACAAACACAGGAGTTTCCTAACGAGACACTCAACATTTTCTAGCCTACATAATCTCGGTTAAAGAAAATACTCCCCCTGTCTCAAAATGTAACTATGTAAGGCGTTTTTTGATACAAAGGGAGTATCTGAAAATGTCTTACATTTTGAGACGGAGGGGGTAGTATCCAACCAACAGGACTACCGACAGTCAATTCCTTAAAAACAAATCCCTTCCTTATGACTACATAATGTAGGCCTGTTCTTCCTCCTCAAGTATTTCTTAGTCGTGGATGCATCAAATGGGAACAGAGAAGAAAGAGAGAAAATGCCTAGACCAATTTAACTACAGACGCATAGCACAAGGAGGACAAACATTGCAGTTAAAAATGAAAACTTACAACAGTAGGTCTTTTGAAGAGCTCTTTCTTGGCCAACAGAAGAAGATCATTGCACTCATCCTGTTATCAAGAATAAAAGAGCATTATTTGACCAGGCCAATTCAAAAAGGAGGCTGTGTTTGAAGTAGGTGCCGGGCCAATACTAAAATAAATCCTACTGGAGTAAACAAAACATACCTCCTCAAAGTCCTCTTCTGATAGCATTGAGATCTTGACATCATCCCACATGCCGGAAACACATAAAAGAACATCTGTACATGTATCCTTAATCTTGTATTCTTCTGAAGATTTCTTAATGCCTGTTATCGATGTTTTCACGGGGTGAGAAAATTAAGGCCTTTCTTAGAATGGAAAAAAAATAGCAGAACCATCCAAAGACAAGTAGATTCAACTGGACATTACCTGTAACTAGTCCAATCTGGTAATATTTCTTAGTCATCATATAAGTATAACTCTTGAGATCATTCTTCACTCTGACCAAACAGCCAATAACTTTCTGTTCAAATGTGTCTAGCTCAGTCAGAAGTTTTACAACTAAAGTTCTTCTCAGATAAATCAGATTCAGGTTATTCGGATTGAGAGCGGCAAGACATTTCTTGTTTATTCCTGAAACACTCTTAGGAATTATTGGGTCTATTCCTGAAACACTCTTAGGAATTTTTGGCTCCAAACTATTCCGAGGCTTATTTTTCACCGTGTAACCATTATCATCCACAGATCCATCACTTTCATCCTCTGAAATCGCATTTGCGGAAAGATGCGTTTCCACCAAGCTATGGATCATGTTGTACTTAAATTTCCTTTTGTTAAATAAAGAATGCAGGTTCTCATCACACGTGACAGATTTCTTCTTCTTACCATCTAGAAGATTGTTCTGTCGAACATAGTCCCTGACAACTTCAGCAACTTTGAAATGGTCAAGAGGCGTGCTTGCATCCTTACCAATACATGATAGGAATTCTGTTAGCTCTTTTGAACCCCACCCAACATATGTTCTCTTCTCCAGTTTCTTTCTCTTCAGAGTTGCTTGCACTTCATTTGGTTTGTCCATTGTGTCAAGAAGAGATGATGGCCCAGCACCATCATTGTCACCCAATGGCTTTCCATCTGTCTTGTGATACTCATCTGAATCCTTCCCTTCTTTACACTGTAGGCTTCTTTTATGACGAATACTTGCTAGTTGCAAGTCGAGCAATGTAAAACACTCCTTGTCATTAAGTATTGTCCAGTAATCTTTAAACAATATTTGATAGTGCTCCGGGGTACCTTCGAAAACAACCTTTGCCTGGAGATGCACATGAACTCTTGTCAGAAAAAAGACAAAAGGGAAAAAACATATTGGATGAGTAAACTGGCATTTTTTTTAAGCCAGCCTGACTTCTATCTACTAAGAAATCCAACACAAGTGCAGGTGGGCAACTTGCAGGTAAATATACAGTGAACAGCTTTATGGTAAGG